AATTTTTACTGCCTCTAAATAAAACAAATAAAATAGTTATTTTTATTATAGAGGGATATTCAAAATATATAAAACTAAGTACATTGAAAGGTGCCTTCTGTTTTATTTAAAATTAATTTCTGACATTGCATTATAAAAAACAGAAGCAGTAAAGTGAATTTTTTGTATCGGAATACAACAACCAAAAAGCTCATTTTTTCTTTATTCGGTAAAATTCTAAAGAAAACTTACGCCTTTCTTGGATAAATATCCTTTTTGATTTGGTAATGAGATGGGCCACATTCTATTAATTCTTGAATATGAAAGGTATTTGGAAGTCTTCTGATGAGGTAACTCTAAATAGATCATTTAATAAAAATGGTTATATACTTTATAGACACCTTATATATTGTATATAATTTACGTATCATACTGTATCATTTATTAATCTTGCATTCTATAAATAGTAAGATGAAAGTATTGGTTGGAGACCGGGCAAGACGTCCTTGCTCTCCACTAAATGACCTCTAGAAATTATTGATTGTTGTAAAGATATCATTTCAGTACCAATCATATAACACCTGTGTTCATTACAATGACAAATGGCTCAGAATTTCTTTTCTTGAATGAAATTACGATTTATTTGAATTTATATGTATCTGAATGCCATTATTTTTATTTTAGAATATTTTTATGAGTTGTAATTAAAGTTGTATTGTTTGAAAAAAAAAAAAGAATGGTATCCGGACCTATAATGTACGAGGATCGTGTAATAATTATCTGATATTTATACATTTATAATTAGTTATGTATAAGTATCTTCTTTATTGTTTTTTTGAATAAAAAGTGAAAGGATGTCTGGTCAAATATGTTCTATGCTTCAATTACTGCTGCCTTTAGAATATTTCAGATAACTTTATTTTTATTAAAACAAAAAAAGGTAAATTAAAACTGTTAACATCGTCAATACGAGTGGTGATGTTAAGACTCTTCATGGGGCGTTCTGACTCCCAAACTCCCTTTCCCGTGCCTACGCTACTGGCAGAATTTGATCTTGGAATCAAGGTAGCTATATTATATGATTGAATAAAAAACGCTAATTTAGATTATGCTTTAATTCAATATTTAATACATACAATGAATTTCTTACATCTACCGGTCATGAAACGTTAGGCCTAGAAAACAATTATAAATTGAAAATTTCATTATTTGCATATGGTGTTTATCGTGAGAAAGTCCTGATTCATATCTACCCTCAAACCATGTTTATGTGTTCAGTAGTCGCCGTTTCGTGATGAAGATATATATCATCTTCCAGAAAATTACATCACGAATACGAGATTTAAAATGTAAGAAAAAAATAAAGTTCCCAACATTCTTTTGATAAAAGTAATTATTTTCATATTCATTCCTAAAATATTTATTTAGTATTATCAGTCAAATTGTGTATAATTAAAAAAAAAATTAAGTTTGGAAAAATTTAAAAAAGATAAAGTATCTGAAAGATAGAGAGATGCGTTTAACTTAATAAGAATTTTATATATTGAAAATGTTAAATTTTGACGATTAATAAAGATTGTATAAGAGAAAAATATAGATAATTCCTAAAAGACACTCAAAATTTTAGATGTGGCAATTTTCAATAATGATATGAAAACACAAAATCAATCACACATACAATTTTTATTACAACTAAATGACAACAAATTTCAGTTCAAGGGCCTACTTGAGGGCTTAACAATTGTTATGCTGGTTTTTTATTAACAAGAAATGTAAATATTTGGAATAGCAAAGTTTGAGCAAGCGTACAACAGCTTCTTTCTACGTATGATATCAAATGAAGTTTTAAAGAAAGAAAAATCGTAACTATCAATGATTTTATTGTGATATCTTGTTTTTAGATTATCCAGAGAACTATATTGTGGATAATGAACTCTTTCAAATATAATTTTAATAGTCATAAAGAGTTTAAATGAAAAATGAACCAAAATAACACAAAGAACCAGAAAAAAAGTTCAAATAAAAATAAAAATGAGTAGATTTATGGTTAGACCCGTTCATGAGCAATTGTTGTTGAAATAGGAACCCAATTTAATATCATAAAGTCCATATTAATTATTGTAAATCTTAAAATACAAGATTATGCCTACACTTCACATTTATTTTCTTATTGTATCGAGAAATATTATTTGAAGCAAACTTTGCTTTATTTCAAACAAATGTATTCTTCCAAGGGTAAAGCTTTTCTTGAATGTAGATTAAATTTTTTTTCTGTGTATAAACACCATCATAATGAAAATGTTAAATATGCAACAAATGTTGGTCCTTTGAATATCCTCTAAGCTCAAATGTAAACACAATCTTTATATTTAATTTTGAAAATAAAATTCAACATTGTGAAAAATTGGTTCAGTTAGTTTCCTCAATAAAAACCTTTTATTATATCCTACATAGCCACTCAAGGTGCATACGCTGTTTCGTTCTATACGGCATTCGATTTTAGAATGATCTACATCATAACCATAAAAACTAAGTATCATAACCTTGATGCTCATATTTACAATAATTTTATTTGAGGTTAATGTGTTTTCTAATGATTTTTTCGCTAATTTGTTAACATTGTATATATGCTATTAATCGGTGAATTAATGAAGCATTGCAAAATATTTAAAGATGTACTCACGTAAAGTAATCAAATTTTTATTATTATTATCTAGCATTTTTTAGCCTTGATTAGTCATAGTTCACAAAATGGCAAAATTAGGTAGTCATTAATTATTTTTGTACATAAAACTGTTTTTACTTAGATGTTCTGATACTTAATCTTGAACCCTAAACGATTCTGATTGGTCATTTCAGTGTTTTTCAAACTTTTTTTGGCGACGAAACTTTTGAAAAGCAAAATATTCGAAGGACACACATTTCTAACAAAAAAAAGGTCCTCAGACCAGGTCCTTCTTTTTGTGGCGAACTTTTTTATAGTACTGCTTCACTTTTTTTATGATTATGACTATTATTTTCTTTGCAGAGCCCCCACAAAGGCTTTGAGCACACTTTGAGAAACACTGGCTTCTTTCATAAACTAATAATGACATTTATTTATATATAATTTGACACATTGTGGTCGATAACTTTTAAACATTTCAAATACATAAACGTAAAACATTATTTTGCGTTATGACTAATTGACGAGTATGAAGACCAGTCTTCATAGGACAGAGTCAGTCCAGCACACCCCAACACACCAGCACACCAGGTGGTGATACTGATACATGTATATCTGGTTGAATGTATACCTTCTACGTACCTGGAAAGAACCAGACTGTCAAATTAATTTAATTACCACAATTTAGTTAACAAAATACATTTTATTATTCATCATTCATAAACAAGAACACCTTTATAATATGTGATGTTAATGTATAACAAAGCATCAACCTCCAATGAAAATTATTAAGTCAACTGAGAAATGTGCATCAAGGTTCTGCTCTTAACCTAGGCCTCATTAAAACATATAACACAATTTCTCTTTGGTTTTTATCTTCGATGCTATATCTTTTGCGTTTGTGCTGTGTTCGCGGCTTATCTCGTTGATTAAACGTAGAACGGACGATTTTATCATCACGAAATCATCATATATTCTATTCCGTGGAACTGTAGTTTGTACTATTTATTTCTGATGGTTTTTATTAGAAATATGATTTATATCTTCAGCACGAAATCATTGCTTTCCTGATTAAAACGTATGGTTTAATGCGAGTATCGTGATTATTAGGTGATATAACTTGAAGAAAAAACTGTCAACGGTGAATTAAAATATATATTAATGTTTTAAATTAGGTTTCGTATAAAAATTTCCAATTGATAGTGATTTATTTGCAATAGCGACTTGTGTACAAAAAATTAGAATATAGATCTTAGGTAACAAACTTTCAATGTTTATAATATACTTTTCCAAAGTATTGAGGCCTATATTCTCTCATTGTGAACCAATAACTTTTGGTCACGAGCCGCTGCTGTATATTTGTTACTCTAACAGAGATAAAAAAAGAAACTTATATAATTTTCTCTATAACCTTTTTCAAAACACTTTTAGGCATAGTTTTAACTTGGTAAACGTTGTTCATTTCTCACAATTATTGAAATATGACGCAAACGTGCATGAAAGTGACATTTATGTGTCTCAAAATTTCGTTCAGTATCTACAGATTGCTGTCTTGATCAGCAGTCCCACATTACGTTGCTAGTTATAATATTACACCCTTCGTATTCGCCTTCAACCTCTTTTACCATGAGGGTTAACAGGTGTAGTTTCACCAACAGATGGCACTATTGAAACATCAGGCCGGTATTGTTTTTTTTTAATTTTACCGTATTTTAAGTATATTTAAAAAAAATATAATTTAAATAGTATGTAATGGATAAATAGGGATCAATTAAACTAAACTCAAAAGAAGGGATGCTAAAATAACTGTACACAAAGAAAAAGTATTTGAATAGTAAACTATAATTTTATAAATTATTTATTTGTTCTAATTTTTGTAATATTTTGAGGCATTGGTCTATAAAGTACTCACTGAATAATATATCGATAGGGAACTCAAAATAAACATATTTATGTCCCAAAAGAGATACAGGGTATTAAAAAAATCAAATTAATTGAAATATTCAGTTTGCTGATATTTTAATAATGTATGCATCATTTGGACCTATTACAGTGTTCCCAAAATTTCCATAGGCATATCCACGAGGAAAGTCTAGTACTTGCTGAAAAAGAATAATACCCTAAAGATTTTTTGAAGTTTTTATAATTTTTTTTAAAGAGCAACTGAAAATAAAACTTTTATATTTTTATTTTTTTTTCCAATCTCGCTTCTTTTCGATTTGAGTTGTAATTTTAGTTACTTCAGATACATTCAGAAGATTTGGAGAATAAATTTAACTACTTTTAGCATCATGGAAACTTTTAAAGTTACTCACCCTATATAAATAGCATTTTATTGTTTGAATCGCTTACTTACCTGGTCAGTATCATTGTTTTCTTCAAAAATATTCAATTCAAATCCCATACGAATGTCAAAAAATGCTCCTTAATGATTAAAATTTCATAAAAATTTCTGGAGTCATAAGAAAATTCTAACTCAAAAATTCAGACGTTTACAATAAGTATTAGCACTGAATTAATAAACACCCTGTATATAAGAACGTAAATATTACCGTTTTCAAACAAATTTGTGTTTCTATTGTGCAATTTAAAAAAATATTCTGCACATTAATTTTATCATGACATTCTAAAGTATTCCACGACCTAAAATGTCATAATTAGTCGACCGTTTGGAAAATAATTTTTTTTTCGGAAATAAGATCTTGCTTCGAAAAATTGAAAGACTAACTTCTAAAGGAAAAATCGCACAAATTTTTAGAGGACATTTTCTTTCCTTTCATGACATTCTAAGGTATTCTACAATCTTAAATGTCATAATTAGTCGACCGTTTGGAAAATAATTTTTTTTTCGGAAATAAGATCTCGCTTCGAAAAATTGAAAGACTAACTTCTAAAGGAAAAATCGCACAAACTTTTAGAGGCCATTTTCTTTCTTTTCATAACATTCTAAGGTATTCCACGACCTGAAATGTCATAATTAGTTACTTCAGATACGTGCAGAAGATGTGGAAAGTAAATTTAAATACTTTTAACCTCAAAGAAACTTTTATAAGTTACTCACCCTATATAAATAGCGTTTTATTGTTTCAATCGCTTGCTTACCTGGTCAGTACTATTATTTTATTCAAAAATATTCAATTTAAATCTCGTACGAACGTCAAAAAATGCTCCTTAATCATTAAAATGTGTTTACAAAATTTCATAAAAATTTCTGAAGTGACAAGAAAACTGTAACTCAAAAATTCAGACGTTTACAATAAGTATATTGGCACTGAATTAATAAACACCCTGTATATAAGAACATTTTCAAGCAAATTTGTGTTTCTATTACACAATTTTAAGAAATATTCTGCACATTAATTTTATTGCTTATCTACTTAAAGTAAACTTTAGATTTTCAAAACAGGACATTTCGTAATTTGTCGGCCTGCCATGTGTGAAAATGGATATAACACTTTCCACTGTAAGTGAAATCATTCTTTATTTAGATATAGAAATTTGTACCGATTACCCACGTACGATAAATTTTTTGGTAAAGTAAATATTTGTGCTAATCTGTTAGATTGCAATGAGCATCATTCTTATAGAGCAATTAAAAAAATATATTCAGCGTACGTCTATAAAAATTGCAGCTTAGAATGTCTAATAGCAAAAGTTAAGGTAGAAAAGAAAATCATTAGTTTGAACAAGAGTATGTGTGATGAGTGTGCTATGACTTACTTAATTATTTTTTTAGCTACTAGTACATTATCTACATTATTATTATCTTTCTTTTCAATATAACCGTTTAACTTAATTTTTTTTAGCTATTTTATTTCTGGTCATTTGGTTGGTGTTCACAAAATAGTCTTTACTGTTACTTAAGTATAAACTTTCTACGCGTTGGTATCTTCAATATTGTTTTATTAATGAAATTTCACTAACACAATAATTTTAATGATATAATTTAACTAGTAATATAATAAATAATAATAAACAATAAACCAATATTCTATTATTACTTTTTCATTGTTTATTTCTAAGATTTCCAACGGGGCTAGAAATTTTGTTTCTTTTATCAGATCTAATAACGGCCTATTCTCGTTTTAAAAGTCCAATTTATCGTGCTGCTGCCCACACCACAATGATTGTTTACTCGCTGAAGAGATGTTAGCATTTCTCAACTCATTAAGCAGAAAGAAAATTTCAAACATAACAACTACCTCCGACGAACAAAATCTTTTGTTAAAAAATCGTTACAGTTAACTTTTGCGCTGATAGAACTGCGATAAATAAACAGTACATGCAGCAAATTATAAGGTTAAAGTTAAAAGCATGAAATATTGGATGTTATTTAGACTGTTGAAGCTATCAATTAGCCTATTCATTCATTTAATAATAATTGAAAGCGTAGGTCTACTATTTTCAGGAATAATAGGTACTTATGATTTTTTTTTTATTCAAAAAGTAAACAGTGAAAAGATAAATTTATCCAAATATGTCTAAAAATATAAAAGATTATATAATTTTTTTGCAATAAGAAACTTTATTTAAAAAAATCACACAAACTTTTAGAAGACATAGGGGTCTATTCTGTAACAATTCCTTTATATTTAACGGCCTTTAAAAATATTTTCTTCTTTACTTATGTCATTTTTTAAACGGATCTTTAAAATCCATTAGAGGACTACCTAAAAGAAATCTGTTTAAATAATGGCAGAAGTAAATTAACGAATACGAAAATATTTTTAAGGCCGCCAATATTTTTAAAGGCCGTTAAATATAAAGGAATTGTTACAGAATAGACCCTATTAACTTTCTTTTCATAAAATTCTAAGGTATTCCACGACCTGAAATGTCATAATTAGTCTTCAATAATCAATCATAATATCTATAAACATTTCTAAATTAAAGAATAAAAGAAAAACATTTACTTACCTTAATAATCACTAGGTACATAGATGTATTTTTGAAATTATACGGATACAGAATTTTTTTCTAAAGAAGGTCCTACACGTTACGATTTTTGTGGGATTTGAACTGTACACTGTACAGTCCATCGATTCAATTCATAACTCAACGTGAAGTGCTGGATCTGACTCCCATCTGGCCTCTCCTTTTTTACATACTGTGACAATGAAGACTGAAATGAGATGATTAAATCTTGCCTTTAGATCAGAACTGCATGAGTTTTGGCCTGCAGGACATATCGGAGCATGTAGGACCTCCATAACAGTTTATACTAATAGTATTCGGTAGGTACTATCGATCGTAAATCTTTTATTATGTTTTTTTATCTATTTTTATGTATATTTTTTTTAAATTTTGTATTAAAAATGTTTTTTGTTGTTTAACATTAACATTTAATATTACTGTTATTTATTTAGGGTAGATTCCTACCACATATATTTTTACACACTAAGAATTCATTGTCTTGTCATAAATTTTACAAACTTCTATATTTTTATCAAACATAAGCAATGTTGCTTAGCTATTTTTATTTATTAAGAAATTAAACTTCATAACTCAAATATCACAATTATAACTGAGTTAAAATATTTATTTTTTCTAGTTAAAAAGGTTATAAATAAAAGACAGTAATATGCTGAAAAAATATTTTATTAAAAATTCATTACAGTTAGAAAGTATAGTTTTTAAACCGATCAAATCTCGATATATTTATAAACAGTATATGCAATAAATTATAAGGTTAAGTTTACATGGCATGAATTTTATTGCTGCAAAAATACCGCCAAATTATAAAGTGTCTAACAAAATTACCGCGTTTTCCTTCAAATCGAACACGCCATATCATTAACTAAAGATAATTTTACAAGAATATTTGCTGCATTTGACCTATTTTCAGTTGTACAATTAATAGATAGTTATAGTCACACTTTTTAATTAACTATAAAAGAGTAATAATTGTTGTAATTATGATATTAGATTGTCTGATTTTATCTATAGTAAATTTACTTTGAAATAAATCAATTTGTTCTAAATATTTGTTTATGCAATTCATTTAGGTTAGTCTAATAACGTTTCAAATTGATTATATATTTTTAAAATAATCTTTTATACACTAAGATAAATAAATATAACTACAATAGTATAAAAATTATTCTAAGATGAAATAGGAAGATGTGACATAAACTTAACAGTTATTATATTTCTTTATAAAATACCCAAATCATAGCCTATTAATACCTAGTTTATTAAAACTTTTTCACATTTGAACTAAACTTTTACACATAATAATAGTTCGAAATCTGACCATGTGATTACTACATTCACCTGTTTTTAAATCAAAGTACATACTACATACACATTTTATAGATAACTATTGCTTGGTTGCCCATCAAAATATGGCCGCAAATACTATTAATAGTACTTTATAGAAGGTATTTTATCTAATTTAAGGTATATGTCTGTTATTTTTGATTATAGAAGAAAACTTTCTAATATTATCCTATATAATTTTGGTTATATACATAATTTCTCTAAAACAGACCATAACGGAAAAATTTAAAGAAAAGTGTAAAATTTGATTATAGAAGTCGTACTTAATATATTTGATAGCCTTACAGGAAAGTCATTTGTTGGACATATCATATTTTTAACATTTGGCAACCCCTATTTGCGGGCACTTTTAGATAGGCAACTTCACTCTATCATATTATAAATAGCGCTCTACTCCTAATCCTATTATATATTTTTTATTAACTCCGTACATGTCAAAAAAAAACATATTTTCTGATACATTAGTATTATAACTTTTTAATTCTTATTATACATAGTAATGTTTTGGAAATTTTTATATTTCTCCTAAAATAAAATATTAGAAATCGCAATGCCATGTCTGGAGAAATTTTCTTCCCACAAAATATGGCATTAAAAGATCCACGATTCAAATCAATCTGTGAATTCTTCCAGTGCCAAGTTCTGTAAGAGGTATCTATAAATCATTATCTACAATAATATAAATTAATCCTAAAATGAAATACAATTAACATTTAGACGTATTAGGATCTGCTACAAGAAGAAAGTAAATATCCAGAAAGGGATGTTAACATAACAGTTGAGAATATATTAAACATATATGGATATTTAATGGTTATGACAAACTTTATATGACTATCTTTAAATCAATTCTATTGAGTGCTTAAAAAGTGCAAAGAACAAAAAGATATACTACTTATTTAGTTGCATAGTTATTTAGTTTACATTTTTAGCTGTGTATAAAAATCATTAAAATAAAATACTTTTTCTAACAAACTCAAAAATAAACAAAATATCAAAAAGATTTAGGTCTGGCGAACTCGGTGTCCACATAAACTATTTAATAAAGTAATATCTAAAAAGTCTCGCACTTGTCGACTAATGACAGCCTTGGATTTGGATGTTTTTAATTCTGTAACATTCTTG